AAACACGTCCTTGGGGCAGACCCACAGCCACCCACTCGCTCCCACAAGATTTTTCGCCTGTGCAGCTGAGCTACGGCAAATGGGAAGCAGAAGAGAGAGTTTTACCAACAGTATTGGCAGATTCTGACTTCATGAAAAAAACTTTTGAGAAGCTATTTATTCCCTGGCAATGCCAATCGAGTTACAGGAATAAACACAGATCAATTAATTTAGGAGCAGCATCTAGTGCTCATTATAAATCATGCCAGAAATCCCTCACATCTCACAAAGGATGCTGTCTCTGAACAAATGCCAGGTTTAACGTGCAGTTTGGAGCGAGTGTGAGAGTGTGTGTATGTGAGTACATATATATTCACTTGTACAGAAATATTAAATCCTCAGGAGTAAGTATCTTCAGTTGGTGAAAATCAATTTATTTTTTCATACAGACTGGAATTGAAAACCTTAAGCCTGAAAGTTACTTTCTTGCCAATTTCACTGATAAAAAGCATATATGTCTTGGCAAGATGCCTTGTAGTGGCTCCTCTAAACTATTGCATTAATTTATTTGGGTGACTGCTCTTGAAGCATTGGTTATTAGAGGCAGCTTCTGAACTGTGACTCCAAAGAATGAATTCAGAGACGTTCTTAGTGTCGCTGCAATCGCCGCATTCAGAGGGGCTGGTACTCGGCTTTTCATACACGCATCTCATTTAGTGCTAACGCCGGGTTTTATTGAGATGCACAAGCCAGCGGACCAGATTCTGGTGTTATTTATCCCGGCCAAAACGAGGAGAAGCTCCGCTCACGTGAATTGGTGAGAGAGGTGTAAGCAGGAGAGAGCCACGATCCCGCCGGTGCGAGCCGCGGCCGCAGTGATCAGCAGCGTCAAACCGCCGCCCGTGTTTATTAGCAATGATCTCCATCATCTCAAACGTTCAGAGTTCATGGCTCTGGAATTTCTCCGCCAGGACGAAGGCAGTGTCAGGCCATTTATCTCAATGCTTCAGAGCAACCGAGCGGTTCCTCTTCATCTGCCTTTGGCAGCAAAGCAAAGTTGTCCCCAGGGGGACGTGGGGACCCCGCAGAGGATGTAGGGGCACAGGAGGGTCTCTCTCTATCTGCCACCAACTCAGATTCCTTTTACGCAGCCCATAAAAGAAAATGGTTATTCCATAGAGAAGAAATTTGCACCTAGCCACAGCACAGCAAATACGAGTTCAAACCAGTAACTAATCCCAGTAAGGATTCTTTTAAGGTAAATTACTTAAGCTGTAAGATCAGAGGTCCAGAAAAACAAAATGCCAGCAAAAACAAGTCCAGCAGAATACACACAACTTATGTGCATTCTTTAGTGACTACTGAATTACTACTAACAAATTATTGTGCCTAACGAAGATCATTTTGCTTATTTGAATGGTGTGTTCTCAGGTAACGTCATCCAAATTCCCATAAATAAGCAACCACCTTTGCAGTATATGGCTGAAGTATTCCGAGAGGAGGAGAGCGGGGAAGGAACAACTTCTCCCCTAATAGGAAAAAATATATGGTGGTTGAAGGAGGTGTGAGCTGGAGCACTGGACGTGTCTCACCGCGGAACTGCTGCAGGTTTTGACTGATGACCGCTCTCAGGACGACTGACAATCCCTTCGAAACTGGACGGCCAACCAACAGCCAGGTCTATCAAACTGCAGCGCTGCGCTGAGAACTACCGCGGGTGAATTTTCACCTGGAAAGGGAGCGCTCTTATCTCATGTTAGCTGAGTTGAACTAATAGGAAATAAATTCCCAGTGGGAAGGTGGTAGGTTTTAGACTACGGGGAGAGCCTGAGAGTGCCTCGACCAGGCGTGCATCGAGCCGCCCTGCTGGCACCCAGGGCTTGCCCTGCCCTCGCCGGCGGAGGCGCCACAG